CTACTTTGCGGTTTCTTTTCCTAATTTCCATCACGTCGCCCACAATGACCTCTGAGAATTTCAAGAGAGCCGTTTCGGAAGCATCTCCAACCACAATTTTCTGGGAATTGAACAAAGTAAATAGTTCCAGCACACTATTTGGTTCTTTTGTGATTGTTTTCGATAAACCGACCTTCCTTTAGCCCAAGAACCAGCATGTCTTGTTAGTGTTTACAGTCTAGCAGGACAGACAACGTGATTTCCTGACATTTAGTGAGTGATCCAGACAATGGTGGTGCCAATTATTGGGATTACAGAAGTTTAGAGAAACCGGAGTTCAGTGAGGACTGAGTGGTTTCACGAAAGAATCAGCTATTGAATTAGATGTTGAGAAATGGTTGGGCTAGAAAGGGAAAACTAAAAAGAAAGCATTTTAAAAACCAGGATGCCAGGGTGATTAAACTGTGTGTCCCTCCCCATACCTCCCTCCCCCGAACTACATGTCAATGTGTCTGGGCCATGATCCTCAGTGTTGTATAATTATCCGTCATTTTGTGGTTGGAGGTAATTATCCCATGTGTTGTAAATACTCACCTTTATAATGTTAATAAAACAGTGTTAGAGGCAATTATGTTATGGGGTAGGTTGCCATCTATGGAATTCGGTTGTATCTTGAGTCAATCTCTTTTTAGATATAAAAGAGATTAAACAGGAAGCAGAGAGAAAGAAAGAAGAGCCAGGAATGGAGTGCACCCATTGGACCCAGGGTCTCTGTGTTGCAAAACTCCTATCTGTAGGGGCAAGGTTGATGCCAAGGCACACGGAGATCTCCAAGGAACGCCAAGCCCACATACATTGAAAAGAGTAAGAACCTTCCCTCAGAGCTGACAAAGAGAAAGTTTCCCCTAGAGCTGGTGCCCCAATACTTCTTGCCTCCTAAACTGTAAGACAATGCATTTGTTTGTTAAAGCCATTTCCTTGAAGCATTTCTGTTGCACCAGCGCTACATAACGAAGACACACGGATTAAGATATAAAAGTGGATGGATTCTAGTGTGAATGCTGGAGATAAAGATGGGTCTGGAGGGCTGGCAAGACTATGGAGGGCCATGAAAGGTAGGGTGAGCTCCTAAACTGTGACGTAGAAAACAGGGAAGGATTAAAATTAGAAGAGGATAAAAACTTGTATTTTGAAAAAATAAGTGGCATGCAAGAAAGACTAGAAGAGGGATAAACTAGAATTAGATACACTTTGAAGCAAAAACAGTAGAACTTGGTGACTCATGAGGCATAAGGAAAGGAGAGAGTTGAAGATAATGTCTAAAAGTTGTAGCCTGGATGCCAAGTAGACTGGCTGCCATAGAAAAAGACAAACTTAGGGGATAAACTATTGGTTTGGATCCAGGTTGGGTGGATCCAGTGGAAGATGAGATGTGTAATTTGGGGGAGTCTACCATCATAGCAGGATTTCCCGGTGGAAATGCCCAAGCAGTGAGTTGGGGTCTCAGGTTGGAGTCCCAGTGAGAAATTAGAACTAGAGAGAAAAGTTTGAGAGATATTGATAGAGAAGAGACTGGTCCGAAGGGGAATTGATAAGCTGTCTTGTAGAAAAAGGACATACTAAAACCTACATGAACATGAAAGAAATCAATAGAAAAGGGGAGACATCCTAGAGTCAGTGACTCGGTAAGGGGAAGAAGAGGAGAAAGAGGAAGGAGGTGGAAGGACGGGAGGGAGAGGGGATTTATTGTTCATTTTCTCAATTCTCGACTCCTTGGTAGTTTAACCTGCTAATACGAAGATGCCCAAAGACCTCTTTCCTAATTCACATCTAACTGCATTTTCAACTTCAGTGAAAAAGCATTTATCTATTCTTCAGAACCCCGATTATACCCATTTCATTGGTAAAGGCATTACAGAGGGAAAATCATTTAAAGAAATATATCCACTTACTGGAGTAAAACCTATTTTTTCAAAATTTCCTCAATCAATATTTTGAGAACCTTTAAGTGTTGGTACATTCTCATCTCAACTGAAGAGATTAAATCAAGCATCAAATCAAAAAGGAAGACATTGCTTCAAACTGGTTGTGATTTAAAGCCAAATTAAGGGAGAAAAGTTTATGCAGAAGCTATACCTTCATGATGGGAACACTTTCCTGTCCCGTCTTGAATTCAGCTCGGTTACAGAGAGTTATTATCTTGGCTAAGGAGGCCCAGGTCCCAGAGCTTTGGTCAAACATTTGGTCTGGAAAATAAAGAGCAGACAGTGGATGCTAGACCATGCTATCAATGAGTGCTTCTGCTTGATAACTCCCAGAGACTGCATACCAACATGGTCGTGGTGAGTTCCTTCCACCACCACCACCCCTCACCTCCCCTGCTCAGGCCCACAGTTTTGGAACATGCAGAATATTCCACCTAACTCACTCGAATGATCTTCACTTGTATCGGCCACGAAGATACGATTGTCGAACCACAGATGGGCCACCGTCATCCTGTTCTGCGTCAGAGTCCCAGTCTTGTCAGAGCAGATGATGGAGGTGGAGCCGAGGGTCTCCACCGCCTCCAGGTTCTTCACCAGGCAGTTCTTCTTGGCCATTCGTTTTGCCGTCAGTGATAGGGCCACCTAGATAGGAGAGAGAGAGAGAGAGGAGAGAAGCTTTAAAAGAAAAGCACAAGTGGATATTACTGAACATTTTGACCAGTGATTCCATAGAAAAGTGCCAATCACAAGAGCGAATGCAGAACAGAATTTAATAGTCTCTTGAACTGCAGACTTTTTGGAGGTCTGGGGGCTGGATAAACCCTTGAAACTATTGCCCTGAGATCATCTTGAGGGCGTATATCTGAAATATGCCCTGAAGTTTTCTTAAAATCAAATAACAGTTCACTTGATCTCGCAAAGAATGTCTACCTTCAGCATTATGCCCTTTGAAGATCTACCTACATGGTATCCGAGAGCTGAATGATTTGATAGGAACCCTAAGGGTCATGGGATTTATTTTAATGGGGGAAGAACAACTCAGAGAAGGAGAGAGAGAATGGCTGTACAAGTGGAAGCTACCCCTGAACTGTAAAAGTAGAAACAACATAATTTTTAAAAGTGTAAGTACAAAAGTAGCTACTCTGACTTCAGTCTCACATATAAATAACTAAGTTTAGCTAGGACTGAATTGTATGAGAGAACTAGCCTAATTCTAGGACAGATGTTGTGAAACAGACCTAGTAGTTGATAAGCCTTATCTGGAAAATTATTTTCTTTTAAATGCATTTCTTGTCCCGTCATCTTCTTAAGAAAATGACTCGGAGGGACTCAGATTACGAAGAGGGCAAGGTTGCTGTGGCCAGTGTTGTGGACCCCCATCTGCCATGTCGTCCCTGCAGGGACGAGTGTGTCAGAAGAGAGTTGGTTGGTGTATGCCAAGGAGGCTGTTTCAAAGAATTCATCTGTTGCCATGGAAAACCAAGAAGCTTAATTTTCAGACCTCCATATTTTAAAGACTCTTAGCTCTCTCTTTTAAACTCCCAGATATCAAAGGGTTCTCTTGGCTCAAATTTCTTCAAATACAATCTTATGGAGTCAGAAGAGGTCAGAGGTTAAAAAGTTTCTTCTTTCTGTCCTTAAGCAGGACAATCCCAGACCGACGGTAAGGTAGGCCACCTTCTCATATAACTCTAAATGTGAATCACTTTCCCCACCCACAGGGCCTTCACAGCAGAGACTAAGGAGAGTGGGTTTGACCTAGGACTTAAGTGGACTAGCCCTTGCACAGGGAAGGAGCCCTCATGGTAGAGTGGTTACACGTTGGGCTGTGATCCAAATGATGGGCAGTTCAAAACCACCAGCTGTTCTTGTAATCAGTTATGTCTCAGACATCCACAGGGGTTTACTGTGAGTCAGCGTTGGCTTGATGGCAGTGCAGTTTTCTTTTTGGTTTTTACAAAGGGAGATCCAAAGTTGGATTTGGGTAGGAGGGGCAGGGAAGAAACAAATTGCTTTGCAGAAGAAAATGGGAGGAAGTTCAGTTTTTCACTTCTGAGAAACAGAAGAGAATTAAACCAAACAATGTGGCTTTAGGATTGGGCCTAAACTCTTTGGATGAAATTTCCAAGGATCGATCTATCTATATAGATAGATATATAATAATATATGTGTTTATATATATGAATTATGGGAAAGGGATTAACTGAAACAAACAAAAAACTCAATGATAACTCAAGCCAATGTTATAGATCTTGAGGGAAAATTGCATGAGTACAGATGAACTCCTAAAAATGAAACTGTGTTTTGAGGACAATGCCTTATAATATTAAAAAATATCACAATTCCTTTTGTCCCTCTAAGTAAAGGTCTATTGAGAATGCTCCATTGCTGTTTGTGATGGGACATGAGTTGTTTGATAAACACAGAGGAGACTTGTAGTTTGCTCACGGGAGCTTCCCTAGCACAGAGGTTAACAATGTCAAGGGATAGGAAGAGTTAGTGGCTACCTAACAGCATGGACTCACAGTGACAGTGGCCAGGAGACCCTCAGGCACATTGGCTACAATGATGCCAATGAGGAAGATGATGGAGTCCAAGACAGGATACTTCATGGACACTGCGATGATGAAGAAAGTAATGCCCAGGGAGACAGCCACTCCTGCTACAATATGAACAAAATGCTCGATCTCAATGGCAATGGGCGTCTTCTCATTTCCAACTCCTGAAGCCAGGGAGGCAATTTGTCCAATGACGGTGCGGTCACCCGTGTTGATGACCATGCCAGTTGCTGTGCCTATAGGGGAAGTAGACATTTTATTCCAGGGGTCCTTGGCGCTGAGAGGAACACAGTCTACTTTGTAGTCCTCTCACTGGTGGCTTACATGATATCACAGGCTAAAAACCAGTTCTCTAGACTCTTCAATCTCATGCTTTCTCTGGAAAAAGCTTTCTAGCCAGAAATGGTAAAAGAGAAAATATAAAGCCCAAGGAGGACAAAGTACACCTGGCCCTAAGAACCAGGTGGGCTGACCTTCCAGACAGGTTGTAGAATAGAAGCCAATGTTCTTTGTTTCCAGGGGATTGTCGTGCGTGCATTCACAAGACCGGCCCTGGGGCTCTGACTCCCCAGTGAGCGATGAGTTATCCACCTGAAAGAAATTTTGAAAAAAACTGAAAATTGGGCTTCTTGCTGGAGTTGCACTGAAATTGGTAAAATTAAAGAATACCAATGGGTGACACGCTGATCCTTAGTAGTGACTCATGATACCTTGCACCCCTGAGATGACAGCAATCTGAGGTCTGCAGGAATCTGGTCTCCTCCTTTAATCTCCACTATGTCCCCCACCACCAGCTGCTCTGCAGGGATTGTCTTCTTCTCTGCATCTCGGATGACGAGAGCTTGCTGGGAAATAAAAACATGACAGATGTCCCAGATCTCGCAGAATGTCATAAATGGATGAATGAGAATACACAGATGTAATTATGAATCGCAAAAGAGTGTAAAACCAAAGAGTGTTACACTTGGGGAGGGGGTGTCTAAAGACCCCAGAACTCATTTTTCTTGAGGAAGCACACACAGAGATGTCCCTGGGGCCAGAACACGCTGCTGTAGGCAGATACAGCAACGGGAGGGACAGTTTGGGGTGAGTGACCTTGGCTATAAAGTCAGGGACAACACGGAAGGTGAAGCTAAAGGATTCAGTGATCTTCCCAAAGGAGGGAAAATGAATGATGTGGATCTCCTGCTTTTTAGCAAAGAAGGAGGTATCCTTTGCATCCACAATCTTTCCTTCTAGAACCCAACTCCGATGGTCTGTGTCAATAGCGGGCATGGACTCCCCAAAGGACACACAGCAGACATCCTGTGTGGAGAGAACCCAGTGACTCACAGTGACAGTACCTGGGACAGCATGAACTGAGTTCAGGACTGGGAACAAATTTGTCCCAGAGAAAGAATCTTAGGCCAATTTCCTTGGCTTCCAGTGAACACTCATTGAACTTCTACAGCTTACTATAGGAACTGGGGTGACGTCGCTCACCCTCTATCTCTGAACCAGAGGCAGGGGGAGAGGTATTTTGGAATAATTCCAGGTATTCCCAAATAATGAAGTTGTCTAAATGGTTCACACATGCTTCCAAGCAGTAGCAGAAGATGTTGTGCAAGGACTAGTATTCCTGTCCTACTTGGTTCTTGACAAAGCATTTTCCTGCATCTTATTTCATTTGATCGTCTCAAACCCCTGCGAGGAGATAGGTAACTTGCTCTAAATTTCTCAGACAGCAAGTGATGGGACCAGAGCCTGAGCTACCAACCCTCCACTTTTTTGTCAGTAGTTGTTGCTTCTTCCTATGAAAGTAACGCAGACGCTAGAAGAAAGATGGCTGCTCTACTCACCCGAGGAATCATTTTACTGAAGCCGGCCATGATGTTGGTGCTTTTGGCCTCTTGGTAGTAGGCAAACATGCCCGTCAGAATAACCACCACAGCCAGCACAGCACCCAAATACACCTGAGTGATGACAGAAGACCAGAAAGAGAAAAGAAAAAAGTAAGGAGCCGGATCCTATGGTTAGATCTCATCATGGAAAGATGGACAATGTGGTAGTCGGTGCCATATCACTTACAGGCCCTCCTATCTATATTTAACTTTTGATTGTGATTTAGGTGAAACCCTACAGGGCAGACCGGTTTTCCCGTCAACAAGTCATACACATTTTGTTTCATGCCATTGATTGCAAGTGTAATCTCACTTATCCCCCTTCCTCCCTGTGTTTCCCATCCCTAAAACCATACTTAAGCATACAATTCAATAATTATGAGTTATTTTTTAATTAAGCAAATGGCCAGCGTTGCACAATCAACACCACCATAATGCTTTAGGACATTTCCTTTACTCCAGAAAGTTCACTGAGTTGTGCTTGTTTGTAGTCAACTCTCAACCCCACCTCCAGCTCCAGGCAACCACTAATCTGTTCATTGTCCTTTCAGATTTTTTTCTCCTAGGTACTTCTAGTCTTTTGTGCCCCACTTCTGTCTGTTAACATAATGTTAGCTAGCTCAGTTCCCTTGCTTTGGTGGCCAGTTCCCTACTGGCAGTAAATGCTCTCCAGGCTTAAAAAGAGACTTAGCTTTGAAGGAAAAGATCTAGAAAACCATCTACATGGACTTACAATTTTTTCCTTTAGGAACACATCATATTTTCTCATATATATATAAAATAAAATATATCTATACATAAATATGTGTTGTATATTTATAGATGTCATATGTAAATATACACTTAGATCCATGTTTACACTGTCTCAAGACTTTACGCAGCCAGATGTAATTTCTATTTTATTGATGGGAAATTATTGATTTTCTAAAATGGGGTTTTAGACTCCAGTTCTGTGCTCTGTCCACTCAGGCCTAAATTCATGGTGCTGTTCTCCTCTCTAGGCAAGTTAGCAAAGCATGCTGGGGAACAGCTGGCCCTTACGTTATCAAGAGATGAGGATGGGTCATGGGAGTATTGAATTCCGTATGCGATCCAGCACAGGATGGCTCCGAACCATAGGAGGATAGAGAAGCCCCCCACCATCTGCTTGAGGAACTTGATAATCTCTGGGGTCTCCTTGGGAGGGCTGAGGGCGTTGGGTCCATCCCGAACCAAGAGTTCTGCAGCCCTGGCACTGGAAAGACCCTGGGAAGGATAAGGAAAACCAAGACATGGATTAGTTCTTCTCCCTCCGGATCAGAGTTCTGCCGGTTGAGGTTGGAGTTAATGCGCCAGACCAAAGGGACAAGTGGACAATCGCCTCTGTCCTCCTCTTCCCCATGTTTGAGGATCGTTACTGCCGAATACCACCCAGGCAGGATTTTAAGTGCCCTACACACATTTATTCCTTTGCTGTCCAGAATGATCCTCTGAGGAAGGTGCTATTGTTAGCCTTCATTTACAGATGTGCAAACGGAGGCACACAGAGGATAAGGAACCCACTCAAGGTCACTCAGCTGGAAAATGGTAGGGCCAGCCTTCCACCCAGGAAACCTGGCTCCAGAGTCCAAGCTCCTCAGCACTAAGGTCTGTGAAGGAAGGCTAATTTTTCTAGAGACTTATTTAGAAATAGATGTATCTCTGCAAAGAAGGGTTTGAAAGGTACAAAATCACCACCAGATCTAAGGGCAAATTCAGTCCAGAAAGATGTCCTATTGATTCTGGGACTTTGGTATGGTACACTTGTTGCCACTGAGTGGATTCTGACTCCCAGCAACTCTACAGAATGGAGTAGAATCCCACAGGGTTACCCAGGTGCGGTCTGCCACATCTTCTTCCCATGGAGGGACTGGTGGGTTTGAACTACCGACCTTTCGGTTATGGGGCTGGCTCTTAGTCACTGTGCTGCCACCAGAGCAGAGCCCAGCACAGTGCTTTTCTACTTTTCTGCACACCCGCCCTGAGTGCTTGCTCATCTTACCAGTGACAAGTCTGACCCAACCTTTGAGCTCCTCACAAGGTCCCTTCTTGCCAGAGCCTTGCCTGATGCTGCGTGTTGTCTACGGGTGCATCTCGCACCGTAAACCATGGGAGTTTTTGTCCCCCTCCCCCCAAACTTTTCTGATTAGAAAGCTCTGCAAAAACCTCCTTCTATAGGATGAGCAACTCTGTAAGGCCCAAGTCCTGTTCATTTGGGGCCCTCGATAGGGGCAATGGAGCTCCTGGGTAGCCCAAGTGCTAATTGAAAGGTTGGTGTTTTGAACCCACCCAAAGATGGCTCGGAAAAAAATGTCAGGTGGATTGCCTCTGAAAGATCACAGAGATAAAACCCTATGGAGAACTGATTATTATTTATATTAGTTGGGATTTAATACATGCATCATATCATTCAAATTTCAATCGCGTCAAGTAGAATGTACAGTTGTTACCACAATCAGTTTCCCAACATTCTTTTTCTACAGGGGCTCCTTGACATCGCCTCCATTTTACCACACCTTCCCCTGAACCCCATCTTCTACTTGCTGTCCCTCTCGGTTCATTGAGCCTAGTTTTCATAAACCGAAAAACGGGAAAGCCTATAACAGCTCCAAGAGGGTGACGTCCATTGATATAACACCTCTGAGATACACTGTAATTTTAACAAATAAAACCCAAACACAACAATACAAACCCAAAATACAGAAACATTCGGAAACCAGATCAGGTCCAGCCCACTTTATGAGGAATCTACTGATAACATTTTAATGGTTCAGGTCAGATTTCTGCCTTTGATCTTCCAAACACCTCTCTCCCAAGCGCTGTTTAGTGACCACTTTCCACCCTTCCCTCAAGTTTAGGTGGGGGGAAGTCTCTAGAGTCTTGTTTCTTGAGTAGTTCCACAAATGACTCTTGGGCCCCCACTGTCATAATGGAGAACCTTTGACCACAATTTCTGATCATTTGGCATTCATGGAATTTGGTGAAAGTTATAAAACACTCACAAGCTCACAGAGCCTTGGTTACAAGATCCCTAGAGTTTTGAAACCAGCATGTTTTCAAGCGTCTTGGAAACAGGATGTGTCTATTAATTTGGACTGTTTTCTGGAAGAATAATTTAAAGGGAAGGTTAATGAATAATGAAACCAGCATTTCTGGTTTCCGTGTTGCTTATCTCGGAAACATCTCTCAAATCTGCCCCCTTCTTTCTACTCAGACTGCGGCTGCCCTGCTTCAGACTTCATTCCCCCTGCCCTGCCTGGACTCTTGTCTTGATCTTCAAAATCTAGACTCTCCCTCTTCCATCTCCCACTTAGAAAAAAACTTTACACTTGATCTAGCAAACTGCTGAGCAAATCACTCCCCTGTGTAGAAATTGCGCTTGTTAGACACTTCTATGGCCTCGCTTCCTTAGCTTAATAGCCAAGCGCTTGCCTGTTTTCATCCCATTTAACCCATTCCTCAGGCCCAGTTCCACCGCATCTCTTCCCTGCTCTTCCAGTGGCCCCAGTTTCTGCTCAGCGTCCAAACGCAAATCCCAGTGCCAACATCAGGCCGCCTAGGGAGGCGGCTCATCCTTCTCTCAGCTGACGGCTTCAACCTCTGGGTGGTCACTGAAGAGAAACGTGTCCTGTTATCCTCACACACATCTGCTTCCCCTACAGAACTGTTGACACCTCAAGACCAGACATGCGCTCCTTTCCTTTCGTTAGCTCTCCGTATTCAGTCCGGCAGTCTGCACACAGAGGGGATTTCTGGTGTGCTTTCCGTATCCAGGCCACATGGTACCAAGACACCCAGGCACCAAGACTGGACTTTTCATTTGACTTTGAACCCACAGCATTTCTACTGGTGCTGTTGTTGACCGTGCTCCCAGGGAGATCCTCCCATCTTAGCGGAGAAGTTGGAATGAGCAGGGTTCTAAGCTGGTTACTCTTGATCCTCATGGAAAGTGTGCGCTTTGACAGCCCCCCACCCAATTCTCTGACAAGAAGAGCACCATGTCCCATATTGTCTTGTGAGCACAGGGCTTAAAAGCAACCTCGGATTGTGACAGTGAGGAAAGTATCAGTAGCTGTGTGAGGACACTTTTCTGCAGTCATAGCAAAAAAAAAAAAAGGATAGTGTTGTATGGCCAACAGTCAGTGAAAGGACCTTGTCTCAGACACATTGGCTCCTTGAGGTTGGCCAGCTCTTCTGCCACACTGAAGTCCTGCTACCCTCAAAGTCCTGCCTATAGGTCATTCTCTCTAATGTGACATCTGCTTTCCCACAGCCTGCTCCCTTGCATGGCCAGGGCCCTTCTCGTCCTGAGCCCTGGTTCCCAAGGACTTACCGCCACGATGTTGGTTCCATATTTCTTTTCCAAGTCTTCACTGCTGAGTTTATGGTCATCCTGAAATCCGGGAAAGGAAGAAGAAGAAAGGGGGTTAGATCCTTCCTCACCTCACCTGAGCGGTGATTGGTCCATGAGAGCTGGGTATAGCACTAGGAATGGGAGGGGGGCCAGGGAGTGTAGGAGGAAAAGAAAGAAAAACTCTACCTCTTTTGTCAGATAACTAGAGCAGCAAGGGAGGGGTCTACAAGAGTTTTGTCTGAACTCAAGGGCTAGGGAATTTTCTGGCCATCCCTGAAGGGGTCAGACTGAATCTGTCACTTGCCACATGGTAGCTGTGGTTTGATTTAATCCACAAAGTAAGTCATGTGACTTCACCATTGCTCCCCATCGCAGGTTTAAGTCCTGAGACACTTGTCTTCCAGGGCTTAGGGTGTGGATACTTAATCCAGACCTGAATTCTGGGATGAGGTGAAGATAAAAGGCAACACTAAGCCAGAGTCACGGCATCTTCTCCAGTGGCTTGCTTCACCAACCACCACGACCCCTCATCCATGCAGCCCCAGCTGAGTCTCTGGCACCAAGAAGCGTGCTTTCCCACACTTGAGAAATGGAACTCAAGTACTCAACTGTTCAGAGAGACGGAGACTCTGCCAATAAATGCTACTAGGGCCCCCACTTGGAGATTCTACCACGGAATCATTCGACTGTTTTTTGTTATGGGCTGTGAAGTTGATTCCAACTCATAGTGACCCTATACTGATGTTGGGGTTCTAGCTCTTGGCAGAGAGCTTTTTGCTGGGGGACCAGTTTGGAGTCGGGGGAGGTGGGGGAAGGAAGAGGATCTTGTCCTATACATTGTAGAATATTTAGCAGCATCTCTGTCCTCTACCCACTAGATGCCAGCAGCATCCTCCCTGGGTTGTGACATAAAAGATGTCTTCAGACCTTGCCAAATGAGCCCTGGGTATGGGGGTGAGGCCATCCCCACTCCTTCCCCTGTGAGAACTGTGGGGCTAAACCACGAGGAGCTTCTTCCTGTAGAAGAAAACCCAGAGGGTAAGTCTGGCTTACGTCCCCTAGAAAACCCCGCACTCCGGAAGGACAAAATCTGTGTATTCTTATTTATCCCCGTGATCGACTCTCCAACCTGGAGTGTCTGATTCGTACCACCGTCATCTCTTTTCTTACTGATGTGAAGTGAGTTTCTTGTTGAATCACAAGAATCCGCCTCCCAGGAAAAGAACACTCTTTTGCTTCTTGCCCTCTGCTACCTAGCTTCTGCTTTGCCTGCTCATTTATTCAAATAATGTTTTGAATGGGACTCAAAGGATTAAGGCACAGTCCTTTTTACTGTCTTGAGGCTCACACAGCCAGCACATAGTACCCCACAGCAGGCTAAGCTCTGGACAGATACCACTAAGAGATGCTTCAAGCCAGCGTTGGCAGGGATGGAACACTTGAAAATCCAAATGCAGTCCTTCCTCTCAGCCTAATCAGAGGAGCGTGGGGTGTCTGCTCGCCCTCTGCTGGCTAACATAGAAACAGCCAGGCATGGGCCATTCTCAATCTCTTGATATTTACTCAACGGCAGGAACGTTTACTAGTTGTCAAGGTTCTAAGGATGGAAGAGAATGGAATGCAAAAATATCCACGCACTCTTTCACAAACTAAAAGGCACTATCTGCAGTTGGAACCCCCTGCATGCTCTGCAGAAGAGAGGTGAGGCGGTCTGTTCTGTAAAGATCGGTAGCCTTTGGAACCCTGCTGGGTGGTTCTGTCCTACAGGGCCCTCGCTGAGTTGGAATCAATTTGATGATAGTGGATTTGGTTGTGAGAAGGTTGGTGAAGAGGAGAGGATGAAAGAGAGACGCGCCTTTCTCAGCAGGGAAACAGTAAAAATACTCTCACCAATAATATAGAACTAATCATTTTTCACCCCAACCTGAATCTCCACAAAGTGATAATGAAAAGCGGTGTTCATTGTCACCAACACACATACATATATTCCTACCCACATATTCCTGTTGAAATAGCAGTTCCAAGGGAGAGTCGCCATACTTTCCATCTGAACGGCTGGAAACACACAGGAAGCAATCCCTACTTACTGAACAACGATATGCCCTGTTCTGCCTGATCACATTCAGCCATCTGCACCAGTATTAATTCTTATTTCACGAAGGAGTAAACTGAAGAATGAATCAAAGTAGGTTTTAAATTCAGTTAGTGTTGTTTCTGGGTTTATTCTTAAATATCTGTCCATCTATCTTCTTTCGCATAGGGCATTGCATGTCTAAAGTCTAGTGTCTTTGGTTGCGTATCTCAATAGGCTCTGGCTCATTTAGTCCGATGTTATTAAAACAGGTAATCTGCTATAGACATCGCACTTAAACCAGCAGGGAAGAGAGAGTTAGGGGGTTTCCCCCCCTCCGAGTTGTACCTGGGACAGGCTCCAAACACATGCAGGAATCCTGTACTGGGCCTGACTCTGCCAGATGTTATCACGGAGTGTTTTTGTTTGTTTTAACAAGGAAACAAATTGTAAGAGACTTTTCAGTTGCTTGACCCGGTTCTTCTTTTATAATAAGGCCAAGCTCTCAGAAGGGTGGCCATCAGGGGAACCCCACTGGACTTAAGACTACTGACCAGATCAGGCTCTTCTTTAATCTCCTGTTTCTGACGGTTCTTTTTGCGGTTCCAGCACGTGTCCTTCCGGCCCCTGCTGGACTTCTCCTGGCCGTCCTCCTTGCCGCTGTTCTGGATGTCTTTCATTCCATTGAGCTCCACGGAGTAAATTTCTAGTGTTCTCTGGAAGAGAAACCCTGGTGTAATTTTGGCCTAAAATGGATTTTTGGAAGCACCTCCTCCAATGAAGGCCCTCTGGGGGTCCTGCACATACAAGGACATGGGGTGGGGGTGGGGGGCAAGCCCTCCCTTGGTAAAGAGAGGAGAGGAAGGAGGAGAAAGGAGCGGACCGCCTCTCTCCCACTTTCAAGCAATGATTTCTCATCCCTTTCTTGTCTCCCCTTTCAGCCCCCACTTAGGGGGAAAGTTGGGTGGGACAAGTCTTCTCCTTATGGTGACCCTCCTTGGGGTAGGGCAGGTGAAAATTATTTCCTCAACTCTAGACAAGACCCTTCCAAGGAGCCACACTTCCCTAGGACCCACCAAGATGTGTGCCCCCTTTCTAAGTAGGGGCGTGTGCCCTGAGCTCATGAACCTCCCCAAGGGGGACTGGGCACGCCTCCGGATGCAATCCCTCTCAGATCCCATTCCATCCATTTTTGCCCCAACCCTCCCTCCTCCCAGGTGCCTCTGGAGCTGCCCTAGGGCCCCCGTGGCCCCTGCCAGCACCTCTGGATTGAATTCTTCATCTCAGCGGGCCCTGGAGTTCTTTAGTGTCCGGGGTGGGATCACAGAGGTGAGACCCGACGGCCCGGCAGCTTTGATCCCCCGCTCCTGCCCCAGGGCCCTGGCTTTTCTTTCTGGCTGTTGCTGACCGCCGCCCCCCCCACCCACTTCCCTCATCCCCCGGTCCCTCCAGCAGCGCTCCTGGGCGCACGCACCTTGGCCATGGTGCCGAGGGGCGCGAGGTCGGCGGGGTCCGGGCGGCTCGCAGAGCTGTCCCGAGGGAAGTCAGGTGCACGCGGCCCCGCGGACCAGGCGAGCCCGGCCTCCGCACCCGCTCCGCTTTTAAACGCGCGGCTCCGCCCAGGGCCGGGGGCGGCGGGAGCGCCCGCGCGCTGCCCGCGTTGGAAGGCGGGCGGGCGGGCCCGGAGGAGCCGGGGCCCCGGGAGGAGCAGGGCGTCCGCCGGCCGGGACTCGGACCCAGAGCGGAGCGCAACTTGCGCGCTGGGCACTCACGTCCCGGACCAGGCTCCCGAGAAAGCTCAGCCGGGCTTTTCTTTAAAAACAAACAAACAACTCACCTTGCTTTCCAAATAAATGGGGTTGTACGTTTCTGTCATCAGAGAGCGCGAATGCGGTTTCCTGCGGGACCTACCCGGGCCGGGCCGGCCGGGGACGGAGCTCCAGGACCAATCGAGGCCGGAGGAACTTCCAAACCTGGTGCCCTCAACTAACCTTTACCTTGGATTTGAAGCTACCTCTGCGGGGCCCTTTCCTGCCAAGTCCTAGATTGGCCGATAAAATAACCACAGCGACCAACGGTAGGCGCCCAAAAGGCCAACCTTGACCCAGAAGCGAGGAGACAGGAAAAGCTGGATGAATCAATGCAAACAGAGCAGACCGAATGGAGTGCTGATTGTAAAAATTGTAACCGAACAACTTGCATAAGAATGATTCAAGAGGAACCTAATTCGTCGTGTAAACGTTCACCCCAAACACAAACATCAAATTATTTAAGGAAAGAAGGCAAGTGTTCTGGTAACAGGCAAGCTTGGTTACTGGAGAATGGTGGTCTTTGGGCCGTTGTGGGCAGCAGAGTGAATTTGGGAGAAATAGAGACCCCCGAGGCGCTGTATTACTTTGTAGGATTCAACGAGGGAACGCTAGTGGCCTAGTGGGTTACTCGATGGGCAGGTCACTGCAAGGTCAGCATGTTCGAAACCACCCGTCGCTCTGGAGGAGTTGAGATCAGGCTTTCTACTTCTGTGAAGAGGTATGGCCTTGGAAACTCACAGGGACAGTTCTCTTCTGTCCTGCGGGGTCACTAGGAGTTGGAATCGATGACACGGCATGAGTTTTGAGATAAAGTTTGTAGAATTATGAAATGATTTTGGAGAGATGGAAGTGTATGTGTGTGTGGGGGGGTGCGGGGTGCAGAGAGACATATGGAGCAGCCTGCAGGGCTGTGAGGGTGAAACTTCCACCTCTGTCAGGTCCCTGACAATGTACTGCTGCAACCATTGTTGGAGGATCTTCTACAACATTTTATTCGCATGTGATATCAAAGATATTGTTCTCTCATTTGTCCATTGGGTTAGGTCACCTTGCTGTAGAATGGGTAAAAATATGAATCTCCAGTCAGTTGGCCAAGTAGCTGTTTTCCAGATTTCCCAGCATAGATGAGGATGTTTCTCCAGAGGTTCATTGGCTTGTGAAAACATTTCCATGGGTAGCCCATCAATTTCCGGAGTGTTGGTTTTGGCTAATGCTTTCAGTGCAGCTTGAACTTCTTCCTTCAGCACCACAGGCTCTTTCTCAGATGCTACCCCCTGAAATGACAGAATGTCCAACTATGAGTTGGATGGCAGTGGTGGTGGCATTTGGGGCTCAAGTCCTGGTGATGCAGTTGGTTATGTGTTAGACTGCGATCTTCAAGGTCAGCGGTTTGACCAACCAGCTGCTCCAAGGGAGAAAGATGAGATTTTCTGCTCCCAGAAAAGATCTCCCAAAACTCAAACTCACTGCTAGTGAGTTGATACCAACTCATAGTGACACCCCATCCCCTTTGTGGGTTTCCAGGCTGTAATTGTTTACAGGTGTAGAAAGCCCAGTCTTTCTCCCACAGAACAGCTGCTGGTTTCAAACTGCCAATCATGGGGATCCCAGTTCAACGTGTAACCACTAAGCTACCAACGTTGGCAGCAGGTCTATGCTGCTGTATAAGGTCATTAGGAGTAAGAATTGGGCTTCCATTTAAGCTCTTTGAAGAGATCTGGAATACAGAGGAAAGACACACAAAGATGTCCTTGAGCTTACGTTCAAGTCCAGCTCCAGGAGCCGAAAACCCAGGTTCATGTGGATTTGATTGAGGGATAGGAGAATGAGAGATCGGATGAGGGGTGGCCTAAGGGAAATTTGACCTTATAGATTTACAAACTCATAAGTTACAGCTCCAAGCCACTTGGAAAATATTACAATTTATTCTTCTTGGGGACATGTTTGGAAAGGTGTTGTTACTGAACTGGACAAACATGTTTCAATTGTCAGGTACGGTGTTTCTGCAGACTTCCTGGCTGGGCTTCTGTAAGGGCTCAGGCTCAACCGCTGTTCTACTTCTACTGTGGCCCATCTGGAAGCCTCTGATGCCATCAGGTGGCCTAGGAAAATACCATGGGCTAGGTCAGATTCACCTTAGCTTTTTAACACTTTCAAGAGATCTGTTGTAGCATGAGATAGATTCAGACGATAGATCAAACCATGAGCTCAAACAGAACAATGGAAATGAGAATGACACTGCACTAGACTGTTGACGTTGTATCACTATGAGTCCAAACTGACTTGACAATGGCATCATCTGTAGACTGTGCCAGGTGACAGGATCATAGACACCGGTGGGCACAATGCAGTGAGGGAGGACTCCCTGCTTTCAAGGCTGAGTGGGATGTATGACCAGAATGACTGGTAGTGGCAAAGGAAGGGCTCTAGGGTTATAAAGGTCATGGAGGTGTGGACCCATGTGTCCTCTTAAGTAGCATATTTGCCCCCCATAATCATGCCATTTGATTGTTTGATTTCCTGATTGCTGCTTCCATGGGCATTGATTGTGGATCAAGGTAAAATGAAACCCTTGATGACTTCATTCTCCTCTCCCCTTATCATGATGGCTATTGGTTCAACTGTGAGGATTAAGTGTCTTTTTTTTTTAAATTTGAGGTGGAATCCATTTTGAAGGCTGTAGTCTTAGATAACCATCAGTAAATACTTCAAATCCTTTTTGCTTTCAGCTAGCAAGATAGTGTCATCTACATCTGCATATCTTGTTTATGAGTCTTCTTCCAGTCTTGATGCTATGATTTCTTCATAAGCGTCTCAGATTTTTTATTCCGCACACAGATTAAAAAAAAAATTTAACCTGCAGTGTTTCTTTGCTCTATTCCAATAACTACCGCTTGACCTATATATAGGTTCTACATGAGCACAATGAAGTATTCTGGAATTCCCGTTTTTTGCAATGCTATCCATAATTTACCCTGACCCACACTGTCTAATGCCTTTGCATAGTTAACGAAATAGGTAAACATATTTCTGGTATTCTTTGTTTTCAGTCAAGATGCAAATAGCATCAGCAATGATATTCCTTGTTCAATTCCCTGTCAATCTATGGCTGCAACTATATTGGAATTGTCTTCAACAAAATTTTACTTGGGTGCGATTTTAATGATAGTTTTAGATAATTTCCACATCCTGTTGGTTCTTCTCTTTAGAACAGGCATGGATTTGGATCTCTTCCAGCCAGATGCCAAATTTCTGGGCACCCATGCGTGAGCGCCTCCAGTGCTGCATCCATTTGTTGGAACATCTCACTTGATAGCCAATCAATTCCTTGAACCTTATTTCTCACCAATACCTTAAGTGCAGCTTGGATTTCTTTCTTCAATATCATCAGTCCTTGATCATATTCTACCTCCTGAAATGCTTGAATGTTGACCAGTTCTGTGTTTCCTTCCATCTTCTTTTGATGCTTCCTGTGGTTCTCTCTTACCCACCACAGAATCCTTCAATATTGCTGCTCAAGGCTTGAGATTTTTCTTTAGTTCTTTCAGTTTGAGAAGTGCCAATTCTGTCCTTTCTTCTTAGTTTTCTAAATCTTGGCCTTTGGTTTTATTATAATACTTTGTCTTCTTAAGCGACCCTTTGAAATCTTCTGTTAATCTTTTATTTCATTCCTTCCTTTCATTTTAGCTATTCTGTACTAAAGAGCAACTTCAAAGTCTCTTCTAGCGTCCACTTTGGTCTTTTCTTTCTTTCCTGTATTTTTAATGATTTCTTTGCTTTCTTCATATATCGGGTCTTGGATGTCATCTTACAAGTTGTCAGGTCTTTGGTCATTAGTATTCAATGTGTCAAATGTATTCTTGAAAGGGTCTCTAAATTCAAATGGGATATACTCAAGGTTAAATGTT